TAAGTTATTTTAGACTCGCCACACTCTATTCTAACCCTAACCCTTGGGGTAAGGGTTAAAATAAAGTGTGAAAATTAACAATTTATAGATATTCCCCTAATGTGAAATATCACTAAATAAAAACAAGTCCCTAACCCTAATTTGAACCCTAACATTAACCCTAAATGTCCCATGTCCTAAGCTTAGTGAATGCACTAACTATAATGAAAGTGTAAAACTAACTTTACGTACCTTCCAGGACCTTGCTGTGGAGGAGTAGCAGGAGTGCTAGCATGCATGTGCAGCACAGGATCCAGCTGATTCCCCTCACCGGGAGTTATGAGGGTAGGGAAATTTGATGGAACAGGAACACTGGTGCTTTATTTGAATGCAACGCCGGCTCTCCTTACTCAAAGAGTGATGCCCCCCTCCCTGACGTTTTACCTGTCATGGCAGGGGAGGTGGGCCTCTCGGTGTTCCACGTGGCGCGCTATGCCTGCATCAGTGTAAGCACTGGGTAGTCATGTGACACCCAGCGCTCCTACACAGAGCACAAGTTGAAGGCCCTCCCCTGTTAGTGTACAGTGTGAGTGCACGCAACCTGGGGGCATAGGGGACACAGGCAGAGTGTGGGGTGCAAAACACACTGGTCACTGACTTGACTTTTGCATAGCAACCATTGCGCATGCTCTGGTCAATGTTCTGATGTTAAACCTTGGGCCCTGGCATGAATGTGGAAGTTGCTTTGACTCATCCCACCTACTTTGATATTGTTGCAGACCACATCCACTCTTTCTTGGCAATGGTGTTCCCTGATGGCAGTGACCTCTTTCAGCAGATTAATGCATCCTGACATAATGCAAAAATTGTTCAGGAATGTTTTGGAAATATAACAAAGAGCTCAAGGTGTTGCCTTGGTCTCCAAATTCAAAGAACAGTTCCATGAAGGCCTCAGCTTGGAATTTGCAGGATTTAAACAATCTGCTGCTTATATCTTGATGCCAGATACCAAAGGACACATTTGGAGGTTTTGTGAAGCCCATGCCTCAATACAACAGAGCTGTATTGGACCTACACAATATTAGGTAGGTGGTTTTAATGTTGTGGTTAATCACTGTAAAGTAAGCTTATTTTTCCTATACAGGTGCACTTTAAACTATAATAACTTAAATCAGCGTGTGTGAATAAGATACATTGTTACCTAAATTGTAATTAGTAAGTGTGACGGACCCGCTGGCACTCCGACCGAGTACCTCCGCCAATCGATGCTCCTAGTGCTTGCCGAGGACTCCAAGCACTCCAACCGACACCATCCCCCAAGCATGAGCCAAGGCTTCAAGAAAGGGTCAAGCAGGTCTGTTTAATGAGCATACAAAAGCAACAGCACGCATGCAGCAAAACAACTCCTTCTCAGAGGAAAACAAAATGACAGTTAAAAGGGTCAGACAGTGTTTGAATATATGACAGGTATTAAGGGTTTAAACTGGTGTTCTAAGAGGGGGGGGGGGGAATAAAACAGTCAATCTAAGTCCATAAAACAGGGGTTTTCTTCACACTCTGCATCCGAAGTGCCATAGCAAAACTGCAGATCCTAAAGGGCCAGAACCAGTCTAATAAAATCCACTATGCCCAAATAACGTATTTAAAGGGCAAAATCTTCCAGGGGCCATAGTCGCAGAGCAGGAGGCTGGCAATTAGTCTTCTCCAGGCACAAGTGGCGAAGGGCACTTCGTCACAGTAAGTAACCTGAATTTTTTTAGAACAGCCATTTACCTGACTACACTCCCTAACCACACTCCTAAAATTAAAGAGACACTATAGTCACCCAGACCACCTAATCTCATTCAACTCTAGCGGTTCCTACAGGAACCCGTGCTTAATCATTGTCTATTTTTAAGTACAGCTTGCTGTACAAAACCTTAGGGTTAGTGGTGGTCCATACATATACATGAGGGTGATCTGGACGATCTTGGGTCCAGTCCAATGCTTCTCATAGAGAACCATTGATAACTGCTGGGCATGTATTGTAAATCACCTTAATCAGCTAGAACAGTGGTTCCCAAACCAATCCTCAAGTACCCCCCTAACAGTCCAGGATTTAGGGATTACCCAGTTGTGTCTAAGGTGATTTTAGAGAGAAAGAAAAAAAAACACTTAAGACGCAACAGGGTAATTCCTAAATCCTGGATTGATAGAGAGTAGTTGAGGACTGGGTTTAGAACCCCTGAGCTAGAAGAATCCCTCTCATGGAGAGTCATTGAATCCAATGCACCTCACTCTGATAGACACTAAAAGCGTGGTTAAGACAAATGTTAAACATTGCAGTTTTTCTGCACCAAAACTGTTTCATTAAGATAAAGTGATTTTGGTGCTTAGAGTATTTCTTGAACATATTTAATTAAAATATTTAACCCCTTAAGGACATGTGTGACATGTCATGATTTCCTTTTATTCCAGAAGTTTGGTCCTTAAGGGGTTAAGTAGACGTAAATGTGCAAACCTGACTTTTCTCAACTACCTTTAGTCATCTAACTTCAGGCTTGATAAGGAGTGGAAAGTGTGCTGTTTTGGAACCCAGAGAGTCAGTTGTTCCCTGCTAGCTCTGTACCACCTATTTAATCTCATAGCAGTAATATAGCAAGCAGGTGGCATTTCTCATCTGCATGTGTGGTGCTGAATATTGAACAGCAAAACACTGGTGTATTGAAGATCTGCAAGCTTTTTATGACCGCAGTTGGCACATTCCATAGATTCCGTAGTTTTAAATACAGAGGCAGATGTAGGTTATCTAAGTCCAAATTCCATTCAAAGGTATTGCTGAGCTACTCGGTTTGCGTTTGCTGCCAATGTGTTGTCCCAATATTTATCCCACTCATTAAAAGAGGAATAACTGGTGCAGACATTTGTTGTGGGATCGCGATTTGTGGGATTAGAACTTTGTAGAGCAGATGCTTGTTAGATTTTGACAAATATCTTCAGAAAAACAGAATGGTCACGAGAATGTGCCAAAAATATACTTAGGGCAAGCTGAATAAAGCAGCACTGCCTCGCTCTATACTAATCCATGCACCGATTTCTTACATAGAAAATACCAAGTTATTTTATGAGATAGTTTGTGTCTGTTTGTGCAATAGTTTGAACACAATTGTGTAACTTATTGATATAATCATTAACATAGTCAGCGGCATCTCTGGGTGTTAAAGAGATCGTTTGTAATAATGCCTTAGGAAAGAGGGCTGTTAGGTTTCTTGAAGGCCAAAACAATACTAGTACAATTATGTGTGTGCATAGCTGACAATTCCTATTTTCCCCATCTGTTTGTCCTTCTTTTCCATCCTTATGCCCCTCGTTTCCAAGAGTTCCCTATTGTTTTTGGGTCTGAGTGTATAACATGGCTCCACGGCAATAATACTAAGAGTAATGTGTCTTAAATGTGTAAATAAAATACATTATTCTTGTTTGAAATTGTATTTTAGCTGCAGAAATTGTTGTTGGAAAGTCACTTAAAATTTCTCTGAATAGCCTGCTGTTGGCCATACTCCAAATCACACCCCTAAAACTAAAGTGCCCCTCTTTGTCTATTTGAAATATTCGGAGGTATGATGGGTGTTTACATCATCATTTTGTAAAAAGTATTAAAAATTTTTTAAATGATTTAAGACACCCAGCTTTACATAACTGCTCACAAGCAATGTAGCTCATTTAGGGTAATTTAAAGCCCTTCTGTTTATCTCTCAAGTGGTGGCAGTCCGGTTTTCCTTCACATTAGTAAACGTCCATATGAAGTGCATATGTAGTTTCCAAAATACCTTCTTTAAATGTATGTAAACAATGCACATGGTGTCTCATAACGCAAAGATACAACTGTAATTGTCATTCAGTACTGTCATTCTATATTTGTTGGTTTTCAGGTGCTAATGACCTCAACACACTCAAAAAATTTTTTAAAGACTCATAGTCTACACACTTGCTAGATGTTTAGCTTGAGAAGTCATTGTTGTGTTTGTCACAAGCTCATTTAACTCATGTACCTCTGGTTAGGAATATTTTCTTCAGAAACGTAAATGTGACAATTGATAGATTCCCCCATGTTATTGAATTTTACTCCTGTGGCTATTTTAATGTGTAGATTTGAATCTCCATATTAGTCCAGTAGACAAGATGCCAAAATACCAGATTATGTCAGTATGCAATGATACCTTTTTATTGGACTAACATAATACTTAAAAGACAAGCTTTCAAAAGTTTTCCTCTCTTCCTCATGTCTGAAGCAATACTGACCAATCTGATCGAGTTTAACACTTAAAACAATTAGAGAAGGGACATGGGAGGAGGTGTCCAAGTCTCTAACCTCAGTTGTTCTAAGATGAAGAGAGAAAAACTCTTGAAAGCTTGTCTTTTAAGTATTTTAACGTGTAGATATCTGTAAGTATCTAAGTATAAAAAAACAAACCATTATAAAAAAAATATGAATGGATGTCAGTTTTGGTCCCATCATATAATGTATGTTTATGTGAGTCCCCTTTAAGCTTTGCCATAGCAATATCTTCTAACTTCATCAAATTCAGTTGAACGCAGTCAGAAGCAAGTTCACAGTCTACTTTCAAAATTGTTTTGTTATGGTCTACTTCCTAATGGTTGGGTGCAGTCCACGCATGTAGTTCTGCATAGAATTAGTAATGCCTCCAGCATGTATCGAACATTGTCTCTTGACGAGTGATGATAATGCAAAGATGTAAATGTGGTATAGGCTCTGTCAATTCAGGGTCATGGAAAGTGGAGTTGAGACTTTGTAACCATAGAAACAGCAACACATGACTCAAAAACATTGAAAACACCTGGTAGTAACGATCTTGATGTTTTTGTTACTAAAACATGAAGCTTCGTGGCAACGCTTGTATATTCTCAGCTATTAACCCTGCCAGTGCCAGGCAGGCCTTTTACAAAGTCTTAATTAAATTCATGTGTACCAGCTAATTATTTCCTTCCACCAATTAAATATATTTTTTTATTTTATTTGATTTTTTTGTAATCAGTATAAATTAAATGCTTTCTTATTTATCTAACATTTTATGAGCATAAAAACACAAACATAAAAAAGATATATTTATTGCAGATACAACAAATTTCACATACATATAAAAGCATACTGATGGAGAGAGAGAGAGAGAGGCGCTGTCTAATACATGTTTTTATAGGATGCTAACTTAATATTATACAACTGATATACCATGCCATAACTCACCGCAGAATTTAGAAAACCTATTAGTTAGAATCAGGGTCAGATAAAAAACCCATTGGGCCTGGTGCTGACAATTATGATGGGCCTAATTACAAAATCTTATTGACAGAAAACACTAAACAGTTATACCACCGAGTGTCTTGTATCTGGTGGAGGTGGTGCTGGAGGGAAACTCACAGGATGCATTTATAAGAATACATATACCCTATGCTAATCTCTCGCTTTCATCTCTCAGCCAAATCCATACCCCCCATCATCGTCCTGTGAAGCGGGATGTCAGTGGGCGCAGTAAATAGTAAATAGAGGTGGGCCAATGATGTGAATCATGTCAAGGCACTGCCCAAAGGTTTGGACCCACCCAAAAAAAAGGAAGCAGGTCTGCTTGAAAAATTTGAAGGACAGCCTGGCTGCCTGCCAATCACACAGACCAGCCAACTAAGGCAGACAGCGCTGTTTCAGCACCCTAATGCACGCCCTCTACGCTTTCTGAGGACAGTTCCCCGGTGTACCCCAGCACACACTTTCCACTTCCTTTCTTACTAGCAAGCAGAAACTTCTGGTATGCAGTCTGCGACAGAGAAAAAGGTGGATGTAGTGAATGTAGAATTAAGGGTACATGTCACTGTTAAAGAGACAGAAGCAGCAAGGGCAGAACCCGCTTTATCTTTACTAATTTATGGTCAGCAAGTTCACACAAGTTTTATTCCTCTACATCCCTCCTACGTTCCCAGATTTAATTCCCTCTGCACAAAGAAAGAGTGTGAGAAAAGTAGTAAAAAAATTATTATAATTTTTTTTTTTTTTTTTTAAACAGTGGGCCTATTCCATTTGCATGGGCCTGGAGCTTCAACTCCTTTAGTCTCTGTTTATCTGACCCTGCTTAGAATATATGTGTAATATAAACATTTAGCCTGCTTAATTATGACATCATGATAAAACAGAAGTTGTGTAATTTTAAACAAAACGTCATACAACTATGAATATGGACATTAAATTATGAAAGTGTGTTTGCTAAACTGGCATTAACAAGGAATAAGTCGTGTTAAAAGGGTTTTTTTTTAAGCATGGGAACACTTGAAGAATAATATTCTAAGCACTGTGGAATACTTAGATTTGAATTACATGTCTGCTACAGATATACTGTTTATTATGAAGGACTATGGCATGCATTATCATACTATAGCTTGCAAGTGTACAGCATGCACTATCAGCAGTGACCAGCCTGTGGCGCCATATCAGAACAAGTATATTTCCTATTATCCTCAGCCAGTAATGGAGATGCAATATGATTAAATCCAGAAATGTGGTTTATGAGTAACATGCAGTAAGATTACCATGTGCACACTATTTCGTTTTTGTTTTTTTACATGTGTAAAGTGTGAGTGGACCCAATATTAAGTTCCATGTAGCTTCTTTTTTTTTTTTTTTTAATAATGTCACATACTAAGCAATAACTAGTGGTACCTCATAGGGGGATTCACAGGGAGATCTTGCCCAGGCCATAGCTCTCTATAGTTATCAAAAAAAGGTTATTAGATTAAAAAAAAAAAAAAGTTATTTAAAATAGGATTTTTGATTTGACAAAGGAAATGCAAATGTTAGGCCAAATTTGCTAAGCAGGAATACTAGCTGATCTGGGGAAATCAGAAAATCACTTTTTTTTTAAATTCTAAATATACATGTTGTAATATGTTATTGAAAACAAATTCTTGAGATATTTAGAATAACACAGGTATGTAAAATGTACTTATAGCTGTAGTTGCGTAATGAATCGTCTTCCAAGAGAAAACATTCAGCCTGCTTAATTATGACATTATTGATCCTTTAGGTTTTGCAGAATAATTTTTTTGTGTATCCGCACACAATTCCTTTTAGACAAGGATCACTATCATCATTCTGAACAGCTACCACATATTTTTGTAGTGAGGAGGACATCAATGAAAATTTAGGGCAGAAAGACGACGTCATGACAGTTATGTCAAGAGCGAAATCTTATCATCCGTTTTACTCCAACTTACACTGCCCTATACTTTTTTTATTGCGAAGCTTACATTGTACATAAAACCCAAAACAGATTATTGTAGTTAAAGTTTGAGAAACCCTTTCAATTGCATTTTCTGCATTAAACATGGCAAACTTGTTACAAAGGAGTTTAATATGTAATACGGGTTGGGGTCTACCCGAAAAATATTGCAATCTTCTTCCTTTTTTTTTTTGAAGAGGGGAATAGATTATCCAGAAATGTTCTATTTTGCGACTGAGATTTTACGTTAAATAAGATATAAAACCGTGGCCCCATTTAAGTGGCCAGAACTGAGATTTTTTTCACATTGTAGAAAGCTTGGCGATAATTTGAGTTTAACAACAAAAAAAATGAATTCGCAGCTGGTAGTGTGAATTTTTATAACAATGTTAATGTAAATATTTAAGACAAAAAGCATATAAATAAAAAAACAAAACACCCATTACATTTTTCTGAATGCTAACTCCAGACACAAACTATTATTGTTATGTAGATAAATATTGGCCCATTGTAAAGTCAGCAAGGATTAAAACAAATGTACACATTTTTGTAATAATTATTCTAGGAAGTTTAACAAAGGCAAATTAGATATTGCGATAATAAGGTGTATTTCTGCTGCAAGACATATCCATAGCGTTAGAAAAAAAACAAAAAAACAGAAGACACACAGAATGTAATACATACAGAAGTCTTCAAACTTAGGTCAAACAAGAAGATAAATATATAAATTTGCCACATATGTACAAGACTAAGAGGTTTATTGGTGAAAAGCCTTAAATGATCTGATGCGAATTGAACATGTGTAGGTGTAGGAGAATCTTGCTTTCTGAATGGTTAGTGCAAATGAACTCTTTAAGGCTCTATCAAGGAAGTGCAGAAATTCACTGTTAACTAAATTCACCCTACACAAATATATAGCAGAACCAAGAGTGCAATGGGTAACTTGGGCCACTAAGTGTTACTTGGCATTGATGTACTAACAAAAAATCAAACTGAGATTTGGCATTTAAAAAAAAATAATATATATATGTAGAAATTTGGTTATCCATTTCACAATTCTCTTGCGTTTGTATTTTGACATGTTTGTCCTAAGGGAAAACAAAGACTTGTGTATATATATTGATCACAGAAATTGGGCCATGTTTACAAAGCAATGCATTTTTGTAGGCACTGTCCGGTGAATAGGTAAGACATTCCAGTATATTCGAGGTGGTCCTTTGATCAACAGTAAGTTAGAGGTGGGTACACACACAATTCACTATAATGGAATAAGGTACGTGTATCCTTGCTACAGAAGAGATTGATGTAATATGTCTAAATAGAGCCAAATAAAATAGCATAGCTTGGTAAATACGTGCCCCAGGCATAAAGGCTTAAAGGTTAAAACTGCTTTGTTCAACATACTATTCATAAGAAAACATAGTTAAGGATTTAGGTTGAGACATAAGTGCTACATTGTATGTATAACAGAATACCCAATATCCCCCATTCAATGTGCTGGATATAGGCTTCTGCAGATATCATTGGATGAAACAACTTCTCCATTGGAAGGAGGCTTCACATCACGATGGACAGATGTGAATACCCTTTAAACCTGCAGTCCTGGGTAGCACCTAGTCAAAGCACATTGTAAACAACTCATCGAAGGTAAATGTTGTCTTGTATAGAGATCGACTTTTTTTTGAGTATTTTTGGAACCAAACAGGGTTTTACAGATTTTTCATGTTTCGAATTCTTAGTGTTTTTTTGTTTGTTTTTTTAAGTCTTTCAATACCAGGGTAGGGCATAAAGGTGAATGAAGGGTCAATAGCAGTCAAAGGAGGCGTTAGTGATGTTCCAAACACAGCAATGTCAATCAAACCAAAAAATCAGATAGCAGAGCAGTTATATCACATATTTGTGTAGTTCTGTTAAGAAAAAAGGCAATACAACATGCTCATACGCATGCTCTAATTGGCAACTCCCTATTTTTCAGTAAAAAGGTGCTTTTCAGCAGAGCAGTTAAACTACCAATTTCCTTTGCTGGAGAGAATAGAATCTACTTACTCTGGGTACGCTGTGTCTCTTCAAAGGAACTATGAATTATTAGAAACACTTTTGTCATGCTGCATTTACAGCAAAAAAAAACCCAAAAAACCCCATAAAATGAATAAAAGAAATGTATAACAAAAACATTTAAGGGTATTATCTCCAAAAAACATTGCCTCTCCACTGGCTTTCTTTGGTGCTAGAAACAGACTGCAGTGTAACCATTAACCCATTCAGCACCAGGTTGACCTACCTTACTGCTCTGGCAATGAAAAGGTTAATGGTGATAACGCAAATTTTAATTTATATTTACCTTTTCAATATATATTCCATTTTTATTCACTACCTTAACTTTGTTCTAACAAATTACACTATGGTATGCTCTATATTTGTATTACATAGGGTCTATGTGTAATTGGTTTACTAAAAAAAGAACCTATCTGTGAATATATATCGAAAAGGTAAATATAATGAAAGTTTGCGCTATCACCTTTTATATTTAATTTTTTTCCTGTTTATTTAGTGAATGAAGTGACAATATACTGAGGTGTTTTTAGCTGCACTGGGTTATATTTTTGAAATGTAGCGCCTTTTATCCCTTAACAGACTTGGTACTTAAAAGGTTAATGGTAACTATGCAGGAGCAATGGTTGTAGCACACCTACTGGTGCACCTTATTTTTTCACCTTGGCATCGTACGTGCCAGCATGTTTATATGCGCCAACATATCCGGTATTTTCCACGATGGTCTCACGACCACTTTTTCCTCTTCCCTTTCCTGACTCATCGAAACGCTCCTTGTGGGAACCGGTGTATTTTGAGGTGTCTGTGAGTCGGTCCACTGCTCCCACAGCTGCAGCTTTCTGGAGAGGGGATGCAAAAGAAATATGTAATTAATGCCAGAGTTGATAGTGACACAGTATTGTGCAGTCACAACGCAAACATGGGCAAAGGGATCCAGCTTGTTTCAATAGGGTTACATAGCTGAAAAGAGACATGTGTCTATTAAGTTCAGCCTTTTAACTTTGGTTTTGTTGTTGATTCCAAAGAAGACAAAAAAACTGTCTAAAGCGCATGCTATTTTGCAACAAATTAGCGAAAAAAATCCTTCTTGACCCCAGAATGGCAGTCAGACATCTCCTTGGATCAAGAAGCTATTACCCCACTAATTAAAGGACCACTATAGGCACCCAGAAACTGCTAGGTTTATAATATAGGTAATCCAGCCTCTAGTGGCTGTCTCTTGACAGCCGCTAGAGGCGCTTGCGTGCTTCTCACTGTGAAAATCAAAGTGAGAAGATGCCAGCGTCCATAGGAAAGCATTATAAATGCTTTCCTATGAACTGGCTGAATGCGCACGCGGCTCCTGTTTATATTTAGACACATAAAAAATAAACTAGAGGCAGGGACCACATTGGAGAACATGGAAAGTAAATTGGCTCAAGGAAATTGCACTAGCATTCCATAACTCCTTAACATTTTTTCCCCTACCTGTTTCTTAGCCTCTTTTCAGCAGTAATCCGAACAGCCCATACAACACTGCAGCATCATAAATAAATGCATTAATTTATAACTTTGGAGTGTTCCTATACATTTAGTTCACAGAACTCTTCTATGTTTCTTCCTAGTCATTTGATGGGATGCTGATATGGAAATTGGTCAGACAGGTTTGTGGTTCAGATGGGGGCAGTGACAATGGGTGGGAAAAAAAGGGCAGGAGGTTAAATTTGGACTGTCCCGCTGAATCTGGGACTATTAGGAAGAATAGATTCTGTCTGTAGACAGATTGTATATATGATGCAATTTGTCTGATCCAACATCTGTATTTGTGAGAAACTTGTGTAAATAGATAGATATGGTCAAGTGTCTTCTGTATTCCATTCCGTTTCAAAGATATATAATGTGAAATTATTGTGGTGAAGTAGCCATATAAGGATTACATTAGAGGGGTATTACGGTAGTTTCCAACTGTTGTATAAAGTTTGGTTTTAACTGAATCGTTGTCACAGTGATGAAATTCTTTCTGTCGGGTGATGTATGGGAGAGAGTTTATACAGGTATATATGATCAGTCAAAGTAGCCCTGTCATTTTTTTTGTCTCTTTTTGTTTTCATTTCCTAATGCCCCTGTATTTTAATGACTATACTCTTCCCCCTGCCCTTTGCCATATGTCTTTACTTATACATAAAAAAAAGAGAAGGTTTGATAATGAATACTCTACCACTACAAGCCACCTGCTAACATATGAGCAACCTGTCCTGTTGGTTGACATTTCGATGTTTCTTTCTGACTCATATCAACTATACCTAGATGGAGTTTTGCAGTCTTAACACTCTATAGCAAGCATGTCAAACTCGCAGCCCACGAGGACCATCTTTGTGGCCCGGCGAGCCGCGAGTACATGCTTAGTGTTATAGCAGAGTAGGCACCTACTTTCCCCACATTGCAGATGCCTACTACTGCTAAAACCTACCCTGCCATGGAGGAGGGCCAGCAAGGGAGCTCAGTGTTCCTGCTCCTCACTGCTCCCTCGCGCGCGCCGTCTGTAGTGAAGTCAGGCGCCGGAATGTGACGTTACATTCCGGCACCCGGCATCTGTCTGTCAGTGAGTATGTGTGTGTGTGTGTGTCTGTCAGTGAGTATGTGTGTGTGTGTGTGTCTGTCTGTGTGTATGTGTGTGTGTGTGTCTGTCAGTGTGTATGTGTGCCTGTTAGTGTGAGTGAGTGTGTGTGTGTCTGTCAGTGAGTGTGTGTGTGTGTCAGCGGGAGGATCAGATTTGGCACAGGGTTGTAGAGGGGGGTGCTGTGGTTTAGTAGAGGGGGGACGACTGGGATTTAGCAGAGGGGGATGCTGTGGTTTAGTAGAGGGGGATGCTGGGGTTTTTATACTGTACTTTTTAAGATAAACCTATGTTTCTGTGAAAATGTAAGGTTTGGGTTTTTTTTGCAGCCCACATAAACTTGTTTATGTGGCCCGTGCCAGACTTTGAGTTTGACATGCTTGCTCTATAGTTATACACATAGAGAAATAAAAGTGGATAGATTTGAAATAACCTTGTTTTCAAACATAGTTTGTTTCAAAAACTGAAAGGTTACAATAATTAATAACCTTGTTCTCAAATATAGCTTGTTTCAAATGTATATGCTATAATTATTCACACAAACCAGTTTGAGTCACAAGAACCTCTAATTAACTGTCTTTTCTCTGTTATACCTAGATCCCCTTTTCAAACCATTTTTCATGTTATGTTTGTGTGTGGGGTTTTTTTTTTGAAATTTTTTACTTGTTTTCAAAATATAATTTAGTCTTAACCGTGATATATATATATGCCTTACAAGGCTTTTTAAAATATAAATTAAAGACTATCTGAGATTTTTTTTCTGGTACTACCAAAAAAATTTTATAACATATATTTAGAGGTGGTTATTGTTTTGAGACTTTGTTCCCACCGTTCCCCCTTTTTGGGACTTGGTGGATTCATTCTCCAACCTTCTCCTTTTTTTATGCTTAAATTCATTTAGAGTTAGGTTCTTTATAATACTTGTAGCTTTTTTTCTATTGTCTTTACTTATATTTATTATCTTTTTTCCTTCTGCCAACTCTCCGTATTTGTTCTCCTCTGCCCAAGATGTCTGCAGTTTGGCCTTCTGTGAGATTGATTTTACCGATTGGATTGTGGATCAATTTGATTGGTAACAGAAACTTGCTTAAGACACCTTGATTGCTAAACATAAGGAAAAGTAGTTGATCTTTTCCTTTATGTATTTTATGAAAACTAAAGTGCTCAGGAAAAGAGTAAAAACAGAGTCAGACACAGGGGACTATATAAAAGCAGATTAGATAAAGTTTAGATTTAGTGACAAAGCTGCTTTAAAACATAGCCACGTGACGGTTTTACAACCAAAAGGTAGCCCTGCTCACTGTGTATGGGATGTAGTACCTAATAAGACTGTTTCCTATTACCACTTTTATTGTGCAGGAGTCACTGCTGTTCTGTGTATATGCCATAAGAAGTTGTATGAGTCATGACATCACAGAATGGAAATGGATATTGTCTCGTACCGTGATCCCAGTGCTAGCAGGCTCGTTTCCAGCCACCAGTTTGCTGATAGCCTCAAAAGCTTCTTCTTTGCTCTTCCCTTTATATTTCTTTGCTGACAGTTCCTCTAGTGCTTTCTGAAATTCCTCGTAGGTTATCGCCCTGGCTGTCTTTCCTCTGAAAAACACAAATTATGTAATTGTTACAGAATTATCTTATGTTCTTAATGTTTAATAAAAATTGATAAAATTGATCGCTGCCAGCGATTTGTATGTATTTTCAAATGTTAACGGTTTTTAAGAAAAAAATAAATAAATTTGTGTACAAATTTTTTTTAAAGATTTGACCTATTTACTAAAGTGAGGATTCAAAGTGAATTTCAAATTTATATGAAAATAACTAGAAAAATGATCAAACATGGTTATTCACCAAAGTGAGAATTAAAGGCGAATTCAAAGTGAATTTAAAATGTAAGGCTAAAATAGCCAAATTGGAAGCATTGCCGACCAAGAGAATTTTTCCAGTTTCACTTTTTTGTCCTAATTCTCTTTGAATTCATCTTGAATTCTCAGCAAAGCTTCCAGTTCAGCTATTTTAACATTAAATTTGAAATTTACTTAGATTTCACTGTAAATTCTCACTTAAGTGAATAGGCCTGATATTTTCCTTTCCATACATGGTCAGCTTAAAATACAACATTTGGTTATTGTTCCCCATGTGTGTTTGGCTGGCCTGAGCTATACTCTTGACCCATAAGATAACAATCTATGTTACAAATGATATATGTGGTTATAATACTTAGGCACAAAAGTTATTGAAATTTAACATACTTTACTTTAGAGAACACAATGTCGACGTCCGTAATAGTAATGGTCTTCCCATCGATAACTTTGCATTCTTTACATAGTTTAGCCCAGTTTTTTCCTGTCATCTCTTGACCTGTGGCTTTGGTATCACCATAGATCGCAAATTTCCGAAAGCTGTCTTCAAGGGAGGCAACATCTGAATTTTCAGCCATGGTTGACCTACAATAAAGAAGATATAATGTATAATTTCAGAAAAAAAGACAATACACAGGCAAATGCTTTGGGTCGAAAACTGTAACCATTCTAAGTGTGCTCTTTTTGGGACCTTGACCTGACGGTACAATGTTTTGGAATATCAATAGGACAATAGTAATTTATGTTGAAGGTAAACTCAAGTCCACTGACAATAACCTTTTCTATATCCCTGTTTTCTCAAAGTCAATCTAAAAGATGGAAAAACCAAATAGAAAGCTATTTACAACTGTGTTTCAAAACTGATGTTTTTATTTTTTTAAATGGCACAAATCAAAATTGTGTTTCTACTACAGTTTTTTTTTTTTTTTTTTATTGTGTGACAATATTTTGAATGTATGAAATGTTCCATTTAATGTGAGAATACGTCCTTGATTTAATATTGTTGGATAAGCTTTCCAAATGGCTTAATATTTTTGGATAAACCTTTTAAATGAATATTATAAAAAATATTTTAATTTTGTATTATTTTGATAGTTTGATATAATTATATATTTTTATACATTGTTTTTTTTTTATATTTTGGAAAAAATATTTGAAACGTTTATTATTAAACGCCTACAGCAGCAAAGAAGTTAAATATGGTACGTGCATCACTTTACAGCGAAAAAGCTGCACAAGCAAACACCAGGCACCATGATCACTTCAAAAACCTGAAGAAGTCATGGTGCCTGGCGTAACTCTTTATGGTTTTAGAAATCAGTCTGTGTAAAGAAGATATTTCATTCTTGTTCTAAACTACACTTTAGTTGCATAAATTGTTATTAGTAAATTATCTAAAGTTCTCAGAACACCCCCACACTTGGCCATAGCCCCACTCACACCCCTAAAATTATAGTGTCTCTCTTTGTTTATTTGAAATGTTGGGAGGTATTCAGTAACACTAATAACGTTGCAGGCCTCCTAATCATCCTTTCGCGGGACAGTCACAAATTTACGGTCCTGTCCTAGTGTCCTGGGTTTATTCCCTGGTGTCCCTCTTTTGGGAACAGGGAACTGTTCCTAAAAATCTTAGCATATTTGGAACCTATGTATGTTGTAGCATTTCCCAGAATTCTATTTTTGCTTATGCATAACACAACAAACTTCATCCCAATAGATCAACATGACTTAGAGTACTTAAGGTGATGCTAAGTAAGCCATAATATGATAGAATATTTGCTTTAGGCAACTTTTTTTGCTACAACAAAACACAACAGCACATGCAAACCAAACTCAGGCTAGATTATTAGCTAGATATCTGCATGTGCAATGTAAATTTCACCACAAATATACAGTATTTAGAGTACAGCTACACAGTGCAGTGTTACCTTCTTCGGGTACAGGAAATGTGGGATGTCAAACAGGCATCTCAGGGTAGTGGGGGTCAGGCAAAATCAAGTTATACTATTACTGTTAACTGAATTGATACTGTTACTTTAATTAATCAATGTAATCGCTCCAGGACAGATAGTGAAAGCATGATGCACTGTAACAGCACTAAAACATGAGAGATAGAAATTCTAATACTAATATAGAGTTTTGCAATTGATTGCTTACTACTTTAAAGAAAAAAAAAAACGAATAAAATAGGATTTCCCCAGGGACCTCATCTTCTCCTTATGCTAAATTAAAAAAATGAGAAAAATATGCACAATTTTACAGCATTGTATGACTCCATTATAATGGCATGCTTTGTGCCTTCTAAAAAATTGCTCTATTCATTGGCACCAGCATTTCTGCCAAGTGTGAAAGGCAGGGATATCTGTGCCAGCCAGTCCCAGCAAAGAGACGTTTATATAAGTAATACAATATAATTTATATTGGCATTTTTATACACTTTCATTATTAGCACACAGTTTGCTAATTACTATTTTTGCAGTGTTCAGTTGGTTGTTCACATATACATTGTATGCAGCAAAATAGAAACCCCTATTATTGTAGTTGTATAGTTACAAGAAATCCAATTTCTATCAGGACGTGATTAAGGAACTATAAATCAGCTGTGAACCTTATTTGTGCCTTTAAAACTTTATTGTGCGTCTATATAAATGTACATATCTTTATGGCTTGCTGGGTACACACCATCAGTACAATGCTCTTGCCCTCTCCTATGTGCTACAAGTCATATTGACAATTACGCAATCTGTTGCAATTTGAACTACAGCCAAGATAATATTACACTGCACAGGCAAGTTACATTTTCTCAGACAAGCGATTAGAATTCATATTTTGTTTTGATGTGTATTTTGTGGCAACAACCTGTTGCTATTTGGCATTAAGCACAAACTGTCTATAATCATATGTGTACGTGTTGCTTGTATCTAAGCAACCTGTTAGTGTACAATATAGAATTTTTATGTACTCGGTGCCAGAGTGTTGTGCAGTAATGCATAGCTTATCCCTCATGCAATTATAAGCTAAGCTAAATTCCCATTAAAGGAGACCTGTCACACAACATTGACTCACTCATTAGCGCTCGCAGTCCTTCTACTTGTGATAACTGTTTTTTTTAAAACATTATTAAATCAGGATAATGTATAACGTCTTCTAACCTGCTCAAGCAATCCCAGTGCAATTTACTAGGTTGCCTCTTTTGTAAATACACTCCCTCTTGAAGGCCTAAATTAACCTATCCATCATCCCTGCCCTAGTGAACATCTTTATGGATTCCAGAATGTTTGGTGAGCGCCATAGCAACCAAGCAACAGTAATGCACAGTGTGCATGATTATCCCAAAGCCCCACGGCAATAGAACTCCCTAATATTATGAAGTATAAGCTCAACATTTAGCAATACAAAACACATTATTAATTAGTGAACAACCTTGTATATGAACTGATATTCATATGTTTTTGAAAATCTTTATTTGCCCTCATCTAACCATGCTTCAGTTATTTGTCCCTCACAAGAGGCAGACATTATTTTTAACTTCGATATCACACTTTGAGTGACATCATCCATGCCATTAGGTGAGTGAGAGCCAAGCTTCACTCCTGGGCAACACTTCATGCATGCAGCTGTCGCCATTTTAATTTATAATCTGCTAGCGCGTGTGTGTTTGTGTGTGGGGAGGGAGCTGAGGACACACAAATAGTGTGATTCTGTCTCTTCTCTTCCTCTCTTAGCAAATCACTATCGGTTGAGGAGCTGAATAAATAATGGCACTTGCATAACGCTTATCGATCTAAGGACATCTGTATCCCAGTTCTGCCCGACTAGTAAAATGGCATTAATCCTAGCCTTTCTTTAGCATGGCATTATTATTACACAATTCACACCTTCAACCCTAACTCTAGCCCTACCTTAACCCTAACTCTACCCTAATCCTAGTCTAACCTTAACTCTTTGATGGCATTATTGTACCATAACCCACGGTACCACTGTCCATGTTTTATATATAAACTGGATGTTACTCATTAATTTACCTTACTCCTTTTATTCTTTTGGGGGAGATTTTTCTGAGCTGTCTCTTACAACCACTAGCAGAACTAAATTGCCACAGCTTAAACCAGACCAAATGAGAAGAAGTATGTTCACACCCTACACTGACCACTTATGACCCTCACTTACCAGACTGCACAAAGACATCTCATGCACTAACCTAAATGCTATCCCAATAGGGATACTGGAAGACACAGATCTAAGATGAAATATAAATCCCAAGACATATAATTATTCAGCTAATTAGTATAACTGAATTCCAAAAGCATCCCTGAAGAATGTAATCACATGGCCTATCTTGTACTGTTAGATGAGCCAAGGCATCGTTCCTTATTACTTTTGTATCCGTGAGTAATCATAAAACAATACTTCTGTATGTAACCCTATTTGGGTAGGATGAATAAGGCTTTAATGCTATATAAAAACTTATAGAAAACACAAACACCCCAACATCTTGTGTACATTTAAAAAATATATATACTGTAATGTAATACTGTTATACTATTCACATTTCTTAATAGCTCTGCAAACTATGAACAGACCTGTGTATCCCATCATTTGACCCTAGATTAATGAACTATTAATCCAAATATTTGATTACATTGTGAAATTATTTTAAAAAGCATTTTTGAGGTGAGTGCATGGATTGCAAACAATGTTTTTACAGCATTTTTTTTTTTTTTTTTACAAGATTGTGATATATTAGCATAGGTTATCTTTGGAGTTCAAGCTTTTTACTTTTGTACTCCCCTTATCGTATAGTGATGGGAAGGTGCAGAACTTCATGTGGGTGGAATTTAGGTGGGTCTCAATGGGGATTGGGTAAAGAAATGAATATGCTCATGTCTGGAATCAAACTACTACCTATAATTAATTATTCTTGTATATGTCTCAGCAATGAGAATGGATCAAGTAGGCAATATGTGGTCAAATGTGCCCCAGCAGAACTGCATTATAGATTTCATTGTAGAATAATGTATTGTTGAATCAAACTACTCTCTCTATTATGAAAAGTCAGTCATTTCTGTTCACTTTCAAAATCATATTTCCGGATTTTACTAGTGCCAGGAAAATGCCCTGGGGAAATTATGCTGGAGCATGTTTGGGTTGTACTACACGAGATGCTTTTGAAATCCCCTCTCAACCAATGATGTTTGCCATTCTGTGCCTTGGCATATGCGGGGCTTGCTGCATTTACTGTGAGGATGCCAGCATCGCTCTCCAAAAATGTTAAATATACCAGATGGGATATGGTACCTAGCACTAATAAATATGAGCAATAAAGGAATAGCAGACTTGAGATCACCATATTTTGTGAGGCCATATTACTAAGAACAGGCATCGTATGTCAATTGGTTCCACTAGGACATTGGTGACAAAAGGTAGATTCCCAGGTATACAACCAAGCTCAAATTGTTCTTTGCTAGCTCAAGAACAGATCCATCTATTCCATTAATGGAAGTGGAGAAAAGGTAGAGAGCTAACTGTTGTAGAACTACAACTGATGTGGTGCTTTTTTATCCTTAATCATGAGAACACTACAAATTCGGCAACATCTGGATATCTTTTTGGCCTCCCCTGCTGTCCTGACTCCCAGTCCAGAAGCAGCTGTATCCTCAGTGATGTATGTAATCACGTCACGGATATAAAGACACTGCGCCAGTGGAATTAAATGACCCAGCTTGTGTAGACATAAATATGTCCTTGTAAAAATTGAAAGAACAATTGGGTAAAAGCCTGCCTTGGCTTGTTTATTACGTTTATAAATACATGTGTTAGTTCAGTGCTTTCATTTCTCAACTGTTGTGCGAAGACAGTTTAAAATAAACTGTAAAAAGTTAAAATGATACATGTAAAATGGAAATAACCATCAATTGTCCATGCATTTGAACTGTCATGCTTATTATTTTAACAACTTTTTTTTAATTTTATGTATATCTTATCTTTTTCGTCTTTATAAAAATGTGTAAGAAAATTATATGTTTTATATTTCAATACATTTTAACGTTTCTGCTCTTATACTCTCTATATTTATTTGCAACTCTCAAGGACACTAAGCAGAGTTAAAATTAACTTCATATGGGCCATGGAAGGGTCAAGCATTTTGTAAGATCCTTTAATCATTGTTTGCATATCTCTCTTTCTTCACCTCTTTCCCTCGCTAGGTATCTATCTGTCTATCACTCTATCTATCTATGGTCAATGGTTGGCAACTGATGGCATGTATGTCAAGCTGCCCCGAAAGGATATCCAAGCTTGCCTTGAGTGCCCCTCTACTACAGTAATGGAGCATATGGACCGCACCTGCAGATGCAGACTTTTTGTAACTCTTCCTCGCAATCATTCAACTGAGCGACTCAGTGAGAAGTAGCAGACAGGAGGGAGATGCACAAGTGGTGAGTTTTAGCCACCAGATGTAAGGTAGTGTATAGCACCCACCCCGCACAGACCATGATTATGGAAACCATTTTATTATACTTGTTTCACTGCTTTGTTGCTGTTTATAAATACAGTTTGGCAAATGCTTGGAAAGCATAACAAGTCTTTAGCTAACAGATGAACCAAAGTATAAATGCCTACCTCCTCTCGTCTATGTCAATGACCGATTTGCAGATGTAACAGTTACTCTCCAGTTAAACTATATATTTATAGCAGGGTTAGTACTAATGATGTCATAGGCAGCATAAGGATAATGCAATCAAACCCATCTTTTTGCCAGATGTACATTAGCAATCAGTTCTGTTTTACAATCCTGTCTTCAACAACATGTGTACACAGGGAAGCAGGCTCACTTTGAAAACAAGTAAAACTTGATAATGAAAGAATGAAATAATGGAGAAAAAATAAGGAGTTTCTTGTAAGCATTTTGGCAACCAACTAGTTAATACCAGCTTACACCAAGTACAAAAAGAGCAACTGTTTTATTAACCACAGAAATAAATGTTTCCAGATGTTAAATCGGTTGGATCGTGTTGTAAGTAAAAAAATAAATAAATAAAAAGCAACATTGATATGAGCCATGGCACTAGGGAAGATAAAAAAAAATAAAAAAAAAAAAATAAAAACACAGTAAACAACTTCAAAAAAAGACAAATGTTATCTCACTTCAAGAGCATCTTATGTACTCAGTGACACTAGCTGGATACTTTCGAGGTTAGAAACCAGATATTTAAACCCAATTTGGCCTCAGATTTGTGCTTCAGTTCCCAGGAACTTAACAATTTAATGTGTTTCTTAAGAAGGATTACAGATAAAATAGAGGAATGGTGGGTTATAACAGCTGCTGGTCCTGAGGGATTGTGTCTGTTTATTTATGCTTGTGCCTAAATAAAGATTACGGGAGATACTGAAAAATCGGCATCTTCATACTTAAACTTTCCCATATGGTAAAATGTTTAAGACAAATAGATAATCAGAGGATACGGCTTCTGTACGGAACTGTAAACATGTTTATATTTTGCATAGTCTTCTGGCGTTTGATGTGCACGATCATGTCTAAGAGTTAAAAATTGTGAAAACAACATTGTTAAGGTATGTAAAGCCTATTCTGTATGCCCGCAGTATATACTGTGCTGTAACTGTTACCAAGCAACAACACAGGGTCAAAAATAACATAACAAGTGATAGAATTGTAGTGTGAAAAATCATAACTATGTATGATTGTGCTGCTCTTATCCTGTCCTCTTAATTCCAATCAAATTCAGATCTGGACTGGAATTTAACTCTGACAAGTTACTTCTTCAGAGATCATGACACGTGGTGTCATGGATGCTGGGAAGGACAAGGTAAATGCTTACTTTGAGAATAACGGTATTGAAAGGAAGATTGTTGCTGTACAGGCACTATTAGATCTGTCCCAGAAGCTTCTTTGATTAAGGATAGGCCATTGTCGCTACTAAGGCCCAAATGATTACTTCTGCTAGAAGTTCTACTGAGATTATTTGAATGACCCCCAATAACAGCATCTAGACTACTGCTGGTATCACAGAACGAGAAAAGAGAGTAATTATTATAACCGGAAAATAACGGCTCATATAAAAATAGTAATTAGACTAGTCATGCAAAGGGAGCAATGGCAAAGATGTCTATTATCTCAGGCAACCATTAGGAAGAAGAAACATCTGACGAACAATTATGCAAAATATATTTGCACATGGCTTCACAAAGCAATGATACTAGATAGAATTCAGAAATACGAGCAGAGCTCAGTGTACAAATTGATCCAAATGGGCATAATTTATTATTTTTAAGACAGCCAATATGTTTTCACAGAATTAAGTCAGACTATAGGCTTGAGTGTTCCATCTCATGCAATCTTATTAGCTCTGTTGCTGTCTATGCCTCCTGCCTAGCTGTATACACCAGAATGATGGGGCACAGGGCTTTGGGTGAAGGCCCAAGTTATACTAAGTCCTTTGGCTGACTCCAGCTATGAATAGGTCAATGCCCAAGGTGGTTAATATTGTGTAGATGTCCACAAAGGCCTATCTAATATTGGGGTCAGTTAAAAAGGCATCGAGGAAGAACACAATCTGTCTTGTGACATAAACAATAAGGTCTCTAGTTGCAGACCTGGAATGCCACTGGTGACTCTGTGTGGTCAGTGGGGTCCCAAATGGATTCATTGACTCAGCAGAGCAAGTGCCCCAGAGATCACAATGTATAAATAAAATTTTAATATAGATCCAAAGTTGACCTGTCATCTATTCATGAATAACAAGTCCACTTTAATAAGGACTTGTTAGCTTTCCCCAATGACTATGTTTAAAAATTCAGTATTGATAATAAAACTATGTAATTATATCCACTTTATCAGTATGCTAATTGAAGCAGCTATGGTGGACTATTGTTACAGGATTTGCATGATTATTTTTGCCCCTTAAAATTCTTCCAGACCACTGGTTGTTGCAGATTGATTGTGACATTCTTGCATCCTTAGAAGGAATAGTAAGTAGAACAATGTTAAGTTCAGGACATAGAAAGTATTACTTATGCTCCAAATGGTAAAAACAGAAAAAAGACTTACACTAAGAATAGAGAAAAGCTTAATAGCTTGCCCTAGGGTAGACGCAGTAAGTCGCAAACAAGTGCTAAGTCACATGTATAATTACAGAGGTATCACATGATTTATTTTACTGAACTAGTAGGCAAACTAGTTCATGAATTAGATATCTCTAAATTTTTCACAAAAAATAGCACAAAGCTACAGGTACTTTTGATAAATATATTTAACAATGCACAAGGTGCGTATGTGGTATATCAAGTTTATAGGATGATTTTCCAAGAGAATTCCTTAGAATCCTATTGCAAATAGACTAGTGTCAGGTCATATGAAATGAATGTGTGATTGGCAGAGTCACCACGGCTAACGCACGTACTTGAAGTTCATCGATTTGTCTACTTGATTACACTAAAAGTGTCTCTCCTCTTTATACACATTGACTTCAGCATAGAATGGTTTTATGTTTGCAGCAACAGGACAGGTCACAAGAGTGAGAAAGCCAGTGACCAGTGGTAAAAAACAGGGGACCAAAGAGGAGAAAAACACACAACATGGACAGGAGACTAAGAGAGTAAGACAGATTGGAGAGGGAAAAAAGAAGCGAGCAGGTACAGAGCAGTAAGAAACACAACTATTAACATATATAAAAAAGAGACTGCATGATGGATGTACTGGGATGGAAAGGACAGGAGTGGGAAAGGCAAGGATAAGAAAGGAGAACCACAACAATAGCTCCCAGATACAGAGTTCAGGTTGCATGAATCTGTGGTCAGTTAAAGATTAAAGTAGAAAAGGTGGACTAGCAGAGACCATAGCATCCATACAAAGAAAGCAATTGCATTAATCAAGAAGGAACTAAGCAAAAGCAGGATTTATAATAAAATTAAAACTAAGAAACAACAGGTTCCTTAACAGAAAAGGATATGGTATTCAGACACTACTGTATCTGTTAATGGGAATTATGACTGTGAATACAACTATTTATTTTTGTTGTTTTTGTATACTACGTTGATCGGACATGAATCTCCAAAGTCATCATCTTTATACAGAGCCAGAAACATTAAGGATGGGACTGGTGTTTAAAGGACAATGTAGGCACTATAGCCGTTTCATCTCATTGAATTGATTATAATGCATGGAGTCCCCTGGCATTGTCCCTCCTTTCAGTGTTGAAACATTTTCAAGTAGTGTAACATTTAATGTCCCTGGCAAGTATGGCTAAGGCAGAGATTACACACTTACTTGTAGCCATACCAATGCATACCAGGAGTGAGCTCTGTGATAGGCTGAAAGAGATCAGCTGACACACTCAACCAATCATAGCTGCCCATTGTTTTTCAGGCTAATGCTTCCTCATTAGCCCAAGCAGCAAAAATGGTTTGCAGAGGACTCTCGTTTAGCATTAAAACATTATAACGATTTAACGCCAAAATGAAGGACCGCGCCAGGGGACTTCAGGCAATAGAAACACATCAATGAGATGAAGCAGTTACAGTGTCTGCAGTGTCCCCTTAAGAATAAATCATGTGTAATATTAAAAGGCAGCATTATTATATTTAACAAAACAGACTTTATCAACCAAATTTGCTCATGTGCACACAAAAAAAAACTAAGAAACTGAGAATACAAAATGAAAACATATTTTTCCTTGAATACACTGTTATAGGAAACATTTGTGGATACATGTCGCTTCCAGGGATGTATAAACTCTGATTGTTAAAATCCCTAAGATCCATTTACAGACATTGTTATTATTGAAAGAGTACTTGGTTTAATTCTAAAATAAGGTATTGGGGACATCTGGTAACCTTACTATATATATAGACACGTGTGTTATTTAAATTGTTTTGTAAACAGCTTTAAACAGAAGCTAGTTACAAATATTGTATACTCTGTATGTACAGTTAGGCAGATACACCCATAGAATTACATGTTCAAATGACTTTATTCAGATGTAAATGATACACATTTATATTACATATACTAATACACAAGACAGAATAAAGTGTACTATATAATTGGAACTTTTCAGATATATTAAGACTAATCAATAAAATACTGACTTTATTAATTCTCTTCATTTAAAGGGTTTATTCTGAGCATCATAACCATTATAGCTCGCTGTAGTGGTTATGATGTAAGGAGTACTGGGGACCATTTCCCGGGTCATGGGGCAACCATTTAGCCCTCTTCCTTGGGTCCGCAAGTGCACAATGCATTTATTGGCTAAAAATATTAGCTTACCACTCTCAACCAATGAACGATATTTATTGCAAATAAATTTGACATTAGCTGATGACAACCCAATGTAGCTGTACGAGGTGGAGTAAGACCTCTGGCAGCAGAGGTGGTAAAATCTACGTGTACTGTGTTTCATACAGACTCCAGACACCATGACCCCTTCAAATCACTTGAGTGGTTATGGTGCTTGGAGTAACTCTTTAGCCATTGCAGCATCGCATTAAATATTTAGAATAGGCGATAAGAAACACAATTTGCACTTATCACAGTGGACCACTAAGATCTAAACAATAGTGATTGTTTTTCACAACCATCCTCAGGTTCTAATAGAAACGCCTGGCACTAAGAATGGCTTCTTGTTGTTGTTTTTAAACATTTTCTGGTCACACTATCGTGGGTAGGGTAAGGGGTTAATGTTAAGATTTGTGTATGAATTAGGCGCAAGTTCAAAATGTACATGAACTTTTTTTTCATAAACAACAATAACCTTCTTGTACTTAAAGATAAAACAATACAATTATTGGGAATATAAATACGTCATTAATGCAAAGATGGAATACTATTATAAAACAGGGGATAAGAATATGAATCTTTTCTATGACTCTAGATCCCCTTGCACTCCTCGGCATTGCAGTGGTTAATATAACCTTGTGCATAATTGGTGCCTTTTTAAATTTATTTCTAATTCTTGCAGATCCATCACCCTGCTGTATATTGCTAAAGAGCCCTGCAGGCAGATCATGTCACTGCTATTTCTCATCATGCAGATCACCATGACAACAGGCTGTAATGTTGTAAGCAAAGTGTAACTGTGAGAATGTTCAGGGTGGGAGACAGCCGGGCTCCTCCACATAGTGATTGGATTAACATTCTGTAAACTCATGGTGTTCCTGCTAATAAAGATTTTAATTTAAGTCTTTTTGATGGAAAGTGGGTTCTGCAGAACATTGCTCTCTGCATGCTGCTACTAAGCTAGGCCTATAATGTAAGAGGGGATGAGATTCAATTTTACAACTATTCAGAGATAATGGTGTCTTCTGGGCTAGTGCAGTGATCTCAAATTCTCAAGGGGAGTCAAACGCAGCAGATGTTCTACTATAAAATGGATATTCTCTGTGGGTTCAGTCAAATTATTTTGTTGCACTTGATCCATGTGCTCATTCCCGAAGGGGCTTGCAAAACACAAGACAGATAAACAAGGCACTCTATGTACCAGAAATCAAACTGCAAGCAATGCTAAATCCAAAATCTGTGTGGCATTATACAGCGATGTGCGTCTTGAAGAGTTAATGGCTATTTGGCCTCTGTAAATTTCACATAGTATTAAAAACAGCCATATTTTATAAGTGTTAAAATACCCACTCATAAAAAAATAGATATACTGGGCGTGGTACAGTGACAAAGCTGAAATCACTGCATCACATAAACACAGATTGCATCCCCTTTGCTTGTTTAATAACCTGCCATCTCCCTACAGCTGTAACACACACACACACACACACACACACACACACTATTATATATGATATGAATAATATATCAGGGTTCTGTTAAAAGAGTGTATGTAAATCTGAAATGTTAATCCTAATAAAAGATTTTTTAAATCAAATACTAGAATGCTATTCCATTTTTATACATATATATGTATGTATGTGCATTGTATATATGTGTGTGTGTATTGTATACATGTGTATGTATATGTGTGTGTGTATTGAATATATATGTATATACAGTCAGAGATGAATTAAGCTCCCACAGGACTCCAGGTAGTTTGGGTCATCTTTCAATCTTAGAATAAGGATGATAAATGGAGCCAAGCTTTGCTAAGTATTTTTATGTTGATAGCCCCCTATCTAACACCTGAGCCCAAGGCAGCTGCTCCAGTTCGCCTTATGGCTACTGCAGCCTTTTCTACAGTAAAACATAAACTGACAAATACATAGACTACCCCTGGGGTTTATTCACTCACATAATGGGCATTGAATGGAAAATTAAATAAATCAATTTACATTTTTAAACCAAAATATTGCATCTGCAAATTGCTCTAACTCTACCATATAATCAGTTATTTTGCCAATTCACCACAATTCCAAGTTTAGTAAATAAACCCCTCTTTGCCCCTGCTACATTACATTTGATTTCACTAATGTACATAGCACCACACTGATCTGCCATTAGGTTAGTAATACATCATCAGTGATTCTGCATCAGGATGGGAGACTTAACACCAGTAAAACTACATATAATGGCTATTGGCTTGCAGAAATCACAACTCACTACCTGCCCTGATACAATCAGCACACCCAAAACTACCATACATATGCAAATACACATTACAGAACAATTATTTCAGATCACATTCATTGATACAAAGTATACATTCAGTGACATATTTACAGTCAAAACAAGCAATCCACATCGCAAAATCACAAAAAGCACACACACCTTACCTCCTATAAAAGACTAATTTTAAACAAACATGCTACAATATTAAACAAAACCCTCACACAGAATAATCCCTTCAGGATATCGTTAATATGATTGTCCTGTAGTGGGTTAATAACAGAACACAGAATCTGACTCATGTAAACACCATGATATAAACACATCTCTAATAATGAGAAACTGCAATGACATTAACCAATGACTCACATACTATCCCAACCCACCAGCAATAAACATTCCCAAACATTCCCCCTCCACACCCCAGATCAATGATTTCCTACCAATCCCCATTATTACCTTATAATATTCCACAAGCACGCCAAGGGGTACAAGTGATATAAGCCATAAAGGGGAATAAAAGACAGCGTTATAAACAAACAGCTTTTCCCATCAGGATTGCTGCAAACTGATACTCCATGTAACAGATTTATAAAAAAAAAAAAAAAAAAAGTACAACACACCTCCCAGTCAAACAGAATTGCAGGATCTTAAAGCATTACAGTGCTATGAAAACTGAGTGCTTTCCCCCTTGTTGTAGAAACAGATGTAAAGTGTGTCTTTCTCCTCTAGCAAACAGTAGCCAGGAAGCAGAGACTGGAATAATTCATGTAGAGGGGTAAGAGGTTCTGAAATAGCTCCCAGCACAGCAGTGTTTATATGAAAGCATGCAGCCTATCATTGTAACACATCCCTGACTGCTACTGTAAACCCAGGATCATTTTATTTCTTGTAGGAAAATATTCGGCAGGGATGTGTAATGTGTGTATTTTTCCTATTGCAATGTCCTCTGTATTTCTCCATCTCTATCTCCCCTTCTCTCTCTGCATCTTTCTCTATAAAAAAAAAATGCACCTGCTAATTTAACAAGATGAGGAACCATACCTAATGCATTATGATCTGTAAAATCAGTTTGTTGCAGACTATAAAAAAAATAAACAAATTATAACAAATCATGCAAAAAATAAATGCATGGGTGTTATGTTTTTTTGTCTTTTTAATTATTGTGTTTTTGTGTCTGTGTGTGTGTGTGTGTTATGTGCAATATGTTGCAGACAGAATTCTTTTCCTACCGCTTGATTCCCTGGGTTCAGCTGTAGACGCCTACTCTGTCCTCCTGGCCTGTAGAATGAAATGCTGCTTTAAAGGCTGTGGGACTATTATCTTCTGTTTATTCCTGTATCCATGGAGACATCCTGTAAAACATCAAGGGAGTGTAATATAAATACAAATGACCAAGGTCACTTAGAGGCGTAAGAGATGTACCCTCCTGCCTTCTTTGCTGGAGCAGACAAGATTTCACTTGGTTGAATCTCCCTTACAAGTATCTGCATGCAGTGCCTTTGCAGAGGGTGTGACATGCAGAACAAAGACTGGCAATTAGATACGGATTAATTAATTTACAATCTGCTCTTTTAAAACTTTCACTACTGCATTGATTTGACTCTTGGCTTATGTAGTTATTACATTTTATTTATTTTTTTCTTTGCTTATGGTAATCTAATTTTTGCATGTTTTTCTTTTCAGTCCTTTTATGCAATGAAACTGTTAAAAAAGAAATAAATAGAATTTAGCAAATGTTTTAAAATAATAAGAGGTTATATTTATACAGAAAAAGGGTATTTTCTGATATTTGACATTATTACCTGGCTTTTAAATGTGGACTCTGCTTGGAAATCAGTAAATGTCACATGCAAATCCTGTATCAATATTGCATTTGCATGTTCTCAAACACAGGATTTCACCCAGATTCACTTTCAACAAAACCAGTATAAGTTAAATGTGTTAAATAAATTCACCTGTAGGTTTTGTAGGAGAAAATGCAATAAAATGTATTTACCCACTAGCAGCCCAAGTGGAATTATAATATTAAGAAGAACATAATATTGTTTTACTATGTAAAATGTGTATATAATGATCATATAAAATGCATTTTATACCCTAACCTTCTGTGCCTTGATTATTGGAGTACAATTTACTATGTATTAAACCTTTGTTCCTAGGAGTGAAATATCTAAATGGTGTTAATGACAGATTTCTGCACTGTATTAGCTTGCATTTGAATAGGACACTGACTGTAAATCCAGATGAGCCAAATTTGTAGGCAGATAGTGGCAAACCCTGAGGACTCTAAATGTGTCTCCCTGTCTGCCTTCCTGTCCGTCTCTGCATGCCTTTTGTCGATCTGTTTGTCAATGTCTTCTTGTCATTCTCTGTCCATTGGTCTGAACACACTTTTATAGCTGTCTGTTTCTGTCAGTATCTATCTATCTATCTGTCTATCTGTCTGTTTCGGTCAGTATCTATCTGTCCGTCTGTCTGTCTGTCCGTCTGTCTCTGTCAGTATCAGTCTGTCTGTTTGTTTTGGACAGTATCTGTCTGTCTGTTTGTTTCAGTTAGTATCTATCTGTCTGCCTGTCTGTTTGTTTCTGTCAGTATCTATCTATCTATCTATCTATCTATCTATCTATCTATCTATCTATCTATCTATCTATCTATCTTTGTCTGTCTGTCTGTCTGTCTGTCTATCTATCTATCTATCTCTCTGTCTGTCTGTTTCTTTCAGTATCTGTCTGTCTGTCTGTCTATGTGTGTGCCTTGTTCCCATGGCTTTCATTTTATGTTTCTATAGATTGATGGACATTTCAGCAGCAGTGCATAACATTTCTGTTTTTAGATATCAAGATTTGCAATAGATTAGTCACTAAATAAAATTGTCAGGAATTGGTTAGGGAATTGTAAGTTTTAGACCATAATAGCACAACAGGGAGAAAAATATCCAGTTCAGTTCTTCCTTATTCCAGTATGTATATTTTTTTTCCCCAAATTTTAAATTTACTGATCAGTTCCTGACAATTCCCATTTCTGGATTACACCTGAATGTGGAAAAGCTAGATAAGTAGAAAGAAAATAAAGTACCTATAAAACTTTATAAATCTTTTGTAAGATCTTTCTAGCTTTGAACACCTCAGTGCCAGCGTTCACAGCACTATCACTTCTAAAAAAAAAAAAATTATAACCTTTACTTAAAAAAATAAACAGTTTACCAAAGAGGTAAAAAATACACTTTTTTTTGCTTTAGTGATAAGTTGTATTCAGAGATTTTTTTCAAGAACTTCACATGATAATCCAAATCACACAAAAGTGCCTTCATAGTCCTAAACAAAGGACAGGTAGGACACCTTAGTCCTGCATTAGTGTGTGCTCAGGCACACCTGGCCCACCCCCTGTGCACACCAATGATCAGAGTCATTCACAAAACCCTGATTTATTGGGAACTCAACTGGGTATTGCAAAAATAGCCAAACTGTAATAATTATCCAAATCAGCAATATTTCCAGCCTTGTGATCATTCACAGCGAATATGACATATACACTGATCAGCCAAAACATGAACACCACTGACGGGTGAAGTGAAAAACATTGATTATATCGTCACAATGGCACCTGTCAGTTGAAGTGAGCAGTCAGTTCTTGAATTTTATGTGTTGGAAGGAGGAAAAATGGACAAGTGAAAAGATCTGAGTAACTTTAACAAGGGTCAAATCGTGATGGTGAGATGACTGGGTCAGAGCATCTCCAAAATGGCAAGTCTTTTGGGCTTAGTACCTACCAAAAAGGAGGACAACCGGTGAACCTGCATCAGGGTCATGGGCACCCAAGGCTAAATTGATGTAAGTGGCAGGCATAGGCTAGCCCATCTGGTCTGATCACACAGAAAAACTACTGTAGCTCAAATTGCTAAAAAACTTAATGCTCGCCATAATAGAAATGTGTCAGAACACACGCTGCATCACAGTTTGCTGCATATGGGCCTTAGAGCAACTGAAAAATGTTGCCTAGTCTGATTAATCACATTTTCTTTTAGATCAGGTGCAAGGCTGGGTGCATAGTTTACCTGGGGAAGAGATGGCAGCAGGATGCACTATGGGAAGAAGGCAGACTGGAGGAGGCAGTGTTATGCTCTCGACAATGTTCTTCTAGGACATTAATGTGGATGTTACTTTGACAAGTACCACCTACCTAGAGATTGTTGCAGACCACATACACCGCTTCATGGTAATGGTGTTCCATGATGGTTATTGCTTCTTTCAGCAGGATAATGCTCCCTGCCACATTGCAAAACTTGTTCAGGAATAGTTTTAGGAACATGACAAAGAGTTCAAGGTGTTGCTTTGGCCTCCAAATTCCCCAGATATCAATCCGATTGAGCATATGTGGGATGTGGTGGAACAACAAATTCAATCTATGAAGGCCCCATCTCACAACTTGCAAGACTTGAAAGGTCTGCTGCTAATGCTTTGGTGCCAATATAAGACCTCTGAATATGTCCTGTGGTACCACAGGACATATTTAGAGGTCTTATGGAGTCCATGCCCCAATGTACCAGAGCTTTTTTTGGCAGCACAAGGGGGACCAACACAATATTAGGCAGGTGGTTTTAATGTTGTGGTTGATTAGTGCATGTAATGACTTAATGTAATTAGATAACAGGAAGATGTATGACCAAGGGGTCAGTTGATGGAGGGGTTACCACAATTACAGTTATAAACATAAAGAAATAGCTGTCAAAACTCTATATGTCAGATCCACTATGTGATGCAAAAAATATATATATATAAAATGTATAATATGACGATAATGAGAAAATCATGAAAAATAGGTAACATAAGTAATCACTAATCTCCAAATTTGTATCATGTGCTGTAATATTACACATAGTGTAATACTATTGGCAAAGAGTATGCGTGTTTGTGCATGTAACCTTTATATGGACAACATGATTTTTAACTCCATCTGTGGGGTACTTAATTTCCAGGGAGGATTATGTTAAACCTCTCCCTGTTTTACTTAATAAAGATTATTGAAAGAAAGCTGCTGCCTGGTGGATACCTATCCAAGTGATTTGTTTGGAGCATCTATAGCCTGAGCAGTGTTCACCTGCTCCCTGTTTGTGAGTGTGCATATATTTATGTACAGTATAAGTTATTATTGGTATTAACAGTATTACACTATATTGTTCCCTTTTTTTTTTCTTACATATATTTTATGAATGGAACAAGCGTTGTAAGTAAATTCTTAGCACTTTGAAGTTATCTTTGCACTATATGTTTGATGCACTTTATCATATGTGTATGCATTTTACAAGGAAGTGTGTGTACACTAATGTTTTTCACTTTTGTTTGATAAACTTTTTTGTAACAATAGTGCACAGTATTTTTTCGCACTACCATTTTTTCACCTAAAAAGGCATAGTGCACTTTTATATGAGAGTGGGAATACTCATGAAAGAAATTTAAACTTACATCGGACCTTAATTTTAGTTTTATGATTTTTCATGATTATAGGTGAGAAAAACTCCATGTGCAGCCTTTCACACATCTGTATTTCTGCTGTTGATCCAAAAGAAGAGAAAAAACACAATTTGAAACAATTTGTAATTTTCCCACAAATTAAGAAAACATTTACTCTTGATGCCAAAATAGCAGTCCAATTTCTCCTTGGATCAAAGTTATTTTTAGCATTAAAAATGATAGTTTTTTACTTATTGCAATACCATCCACTACCCTTCTCTTTTACCGTACTAAGTTTTTTAATATTTTTGTATGATTGATTATCTTAATTATTTTTGGTCATGTGACCTGTGATGTCACAGAACCAGTATTTTCAAATGTTCCCCCCTTATTTAAGCAGCTGAGGTTCCCCCTGTCTGTAAAACACTTTTGAGAAAGCCTCTTGCCAGGTGAAACACGTTAAGTATATTTATTATTATCTACTTCGCTTTGAGTGTATTTTTTCTTGTTTTATATTTTTATATTAATTACCTTTAAATAAAGTACTTTTTTATTGGACTAACCTTTGCTGCTATTCTGCTTGAACTACCATATCCGTAGTGAAGAGTGTACCACCCAAGCATGAGGGATAGAGCAGTCCACATCTGCTCCATCAAATCTGAGTACATTTCTTACCACTTTAATTGTGTTCTGTGCCTTACGGTACACACTATTTTGGCTTTTCTTTTCCCTTTTTCTCCTATATTTCTGAAGGGAAAAGACCATCATCTATACTTACAAGTGGGCACTACACTATAATATCCTAAGCCCATATCCGCAACGCTGCTTATGTTTCCACGATTTGAGTGACTGCAACCACCAAGAACCACACTATATGCATAGGTGGGGATTGATCCGCCCAGGCGTTCAAGTTGGAGCTACAATTTTAGCTGCAGGAAATTGTGAGTGTATTCCTTTTGTTTTATTCTATTTATTTGGACCGTGACATACTACACTATACACTACACTACACTACACTACACTCTTATATATATATATATTTTTAAGGACACTTTAGGCGCTGCACCACTCCTTGTACTTTTATCTGTTTGTGGAGGGACGAGAGACAAGATTAAGAGCCCAGTGTGCCTGGTGCTGACTATTATGATGGGGCCTAAT